TATATTAGTAACATGAATAAAATAATTTATATATTTGTAGCATATATTAAGAAAAGTAACATAAATAAAAAAAATTATTGGTGTTTCTGATTTTTTTAAAAAAAAATATATGTGCCAATCATGTACAGATGTACATATAATATTTTAAGTAATATTTGAGAATTTAATATTAAAATTTTAGATAATGAACATATTACATTTTCAAAAATTTGATCATTTGCAAAAAAAATAATGATTTTATTATTATGAAAAATTGTATATTACCATTAGATACTAACTGTTTAATTATTATTATTATTATTATTGATTCTAAAGTTGTCAGACTATGCTATTAAAATAATTTACTAATTATTTTTAAAGAAATTTTTTCATGAGATACAAAACAAAAAGATAATATTGATGTTAAAATAAATAACTTAAAACATTTGTTCTTAATTATGTAATTTATATTTATTGTGAATTATTATTAGTTGGTATTAGCAATAACTATTATATAATATAATAGAAAAATACATGATTGTACTCATTATGATGTATTAATGTGAGAAATAAAAAATATTAATGATAATTTTTGTAACCGAAAATGGAGGAAAAATGTTAGAGGTTTTATTAAATAGGTAAAATTAAATGGCGAAAATACACATCCACGTGTAAATCTCACAGTTTATGCCAATTAAACGAGATTTAAAATTTAAACGCAAATTTGTAGCTGCATAAAAAGTTAATAACCCAAATTACGAATCTTCAACAAAAGGAAGAAATATGTATGCAATTGAACCCAATCTTCCCGAAATTAGATGGCGCCTTTTGCAAATAAAAGAGATGCTACTAAAAAGGAAATTGTTGAAACGATCCAAAACAGAAAAACAGGGGCTTGATTGTTTATAAATTATTTTACTCACTTTTATTTCAATTCAAAATTTATCTCAATTTTAACTCAACCTCATTATCTTTAATATTATTCATATAATTAAATAATACAAACAAATCATTCTTACACATCACATCAATTTAATTCACTATTCATCCACTCACATAATTTTAACTACATATCATTTCCAATAATTTATCTCTTACTTTTACATCAAATTAATTTTAATTATTTTATTTAATACATTCTTAAAATTCCACTAACAACTAATCATACCACATTTTTTAAAATTAACTATAGTTAACAAAAATAACTCATTTTGAACAAATTATTCCCAAAAACATCAAGCCCTCACTTTTCTAGTTTAAAAATTCCATAAATAAAAACAAAAATTACACAAGTCCAAAAATATTGGGACCTGATAGTCAATGGTAGCCATGAAAAATACTACAAGTAAAATACAGAAATACGTTACTAAGTAAAATATACTATAAGTAAAATACAGAAATACTACAAGTATTCCTTGAACGAACATAAGAATTGGAGAAAAATGTAATATCATACATAAAAACACCAAGAAATAAACCTGATAACATACAGTCATCCAAAACATGTCCAACATATTCCATAAAACACCATGCCCAAAAGGAGGAACAACAGAAATTAGTTTGTCTACATAGTCTGACAAAAATAAATGATAGAACAACAATGTCAACCAACATCATTAAACATCAAATTCAGATGTTAATTAGTATAGGGAAGTGCTAGCAAACTTCGATAATTTGTCGGCAACGGACCAGGTGAATCATCATCACTCTCGGAATCTTTTTCCTGCTTCATTTTTCCATGTGTGTACAATAGGTATGAAAACCTTAACCGCTCGATATTAACGTCAAAGGTGTCAGCATTGATGGGCTCATTAGAAACAATATACACCGCAAATGAAGCAACGAATACGCCACAATCACTGGCAAGAATGTAAACAAAAAATACAAAAAAATATAATTATTATTTAAATAAAAAAAGAACATATCAAAGTTGTAAACTATATTAAAATACAACTTACCAGCATTGCTGCCGGGGCAAATCTTCCACCAAAATGACATCAAGAGGACCATCCTCTGCCTTTCCCGAGTATGGACCAATGTTTGTTTTGATGTCAGCACGTCTAGAGACAAATTTTACCAAAGAAAGAAATATGGGGATCAATATGGAATATCGCTTGACACGTTTTATTTTCTCAAATGGAATGTCGACCACCGACACAAGATCATCCACATTCTGGTTACCCCGTATACCAATATCAA